CCCCGTCTGACAGCTATTTATACAGGGAGCTGTCAGACGGGGAACCAATGGGAGAGCAACTTATACAGGGAGCTGTCAGACGGGGAACCAATGGGAGAGCAACTTATACAGGGAGCTGTCAGACAGGGAACCAATGGGAGTGCAGGGTTTCTCCCGCCGAGAGGCAGGCGCGTCCTGACCAATCAGAGGCGACTTGCATAGCTCCGTCTGCTGGCCAGGACACAACACCCCTTTCCCCTGGACTGCGTAAGCATATTCGTGGAAGTAGTCTGGGCGTCTGCGCACGCGCTGAGAGCATCTCAGTAAGGGTGTGGCTGCTGCCACCGGAGGAGTGCGAGTGTCTCTGCTGCGTTGGATTGGCTGCGCAAACAATGCTGGAGGGCCCACCCTGGACATGGCGCTAGTTTGCAAAAAGTGTCCCGGCGAGAACGAGGCGGGCTGTGCAGCGTCGGAGCTAGTTGTGGTTTGTTGGTCGGGCCGGCAGGCGGCGTTGTTAGGGCCGGATGTCTCTGGAACGGCTGGATGGTCCATGGGCCTCTCTGCAACTCGCTGGCAGAGCTCCTTATGGGCCGCAAACTCCACACTACTTTAGACCGTCTGCACCACCACTACACCCCTTTGGACTGCCCTTCTTTCTGGACACAGCGGTGGAAGAACTGGCGTCACGCATAATGGGAGGGCGTGGGCTCGTAATGGAGCTTAAGCCGAGACAGGAGCAGGTCCCAAGGCACAGAGTAGACCGGGGAGGGTGCGGAGAGAGCTTGAGCTGTAGCGAACATTTCAGCCCCACAATAGTGCAGGAAAATGCTGCGTTTCCTGTCAATTGACAGGTCCGTGAGGTCATGGTCGAGAAGAAAACATTCAAAACGTTCCAGGAACGCACCCCATGCCTCAGACTCTGGCCTGAACGGTGCAAAAACAGTAGCGGCAGCCATGGGAGGCACGCAGTAAGGATCCGGTTCTCCAGTCCTCGTCGCCAGTTTTGCGTTCTGAGGTAAACGACTGAGGAGACCGGTTAACAGCAACTAGAACGGTTTATTTGAACAGAACTTAAGACAAGCAACAGGCAACAAAACCCCCGTCTGACAGCTATTTATATAGGAAGCTATCAGACGGGGAACCAATGGGAGTGCAACTTATACAGGGAGCTGTCAGATGGGGAACCAATGGGAGTGCAGGGTTTCTCCCGCCGAGAGGCAGGCGCGTCCTGGCCAATCAGAGGCGCCTTGCACAGTGCCATCTGCTAGCTAGGACACAACAAAAACACCCCTCATCAGACACGAAATAATGCATACAGGAGGAAAACCATATCAATGCTCCGTTTGCTTTTCTCGGAGGGCTGTCCTTTATTTCACAGGAAGATCCCTCACAGATGACTAAAACCATATTTGTGGTCCATGTGCACAAAATGCGTCACTAACCAAGCATGCATGCTTAGACACGAGCAAATTCACCTGGGAAAGGTACCTTTGTCCCACCTGTGGCAAGAAGTTTACCTGGTCCTCCGGTCTAGCACAGAAGAATTGATACCATGGAAACGCCCTATTTACAGAAAAGACTTCCGTCATAAATACTTCTGAGGCATAAGGGAAACCATACAGGAGAAAAACCATATGCGTGCTCGGTCTGTGGGAAGGGATTTAGCTGGAAAAGTCATCTGGCTGTCCACAGGAGAGGCCACAAGGGAGAAAAATTACACACATGCTCAGTGTGTGGGAAATGCTTGAACCAAAGATGCAATCTTCTTAGTCACAAAACATCTTGCATCCAAGAGGAAACCTACAGGAGAGACACCCTATATATGCTCCGTATGTGTGGAAAAGGGAGGAGTGAGAGAACTAACTTGATTTCACAGGAAAGCATATCCACACACAAGAAAAATGTATTAACCATGCATGTTCTGTGGGAAAAGCTTCAAGCAAAAGTTCAACCTCACTAACCATGAATGAGACCAGGCTGGAAAAACTCCGCATATATGCTCAGTCTGTGGGAGAAGCTGCAGCGATAAAGCCAACCTTCTCTGATATATGAGAAACTCACATGGGGACGATGCCATATTTGGGCTCTGTCTGCAGGAAAATGTTTGCCAATGAATCCCCCCATGAAAGAATTCATGCTGGAGAAAAACACTACACCTGTTCAGTCTGTGGAAGAACTTCAAGCACAGAACAAGTTACACCGAAAAATCCACACCCAGGAAAAGCTGTACATGTGTTCTGTCTGCGTAGGAAGTTCAGCCTTAAAAAACCTTTGGAAGAATCCACTTAGGAAGAGAAACCGTATTCATACAGGGATTGCGGGAAAAGGTTCAAGCCAAAATCGAGCTTTATATCCCGCGAAAGAAGCCGCGTGGGAGAGAAATCACACATGCTCCCTCTGGGAGAAACGTTTTGGGCAAAGATAAAACCTCATGAATCACGAGTGAATCGACATGGAAGAAAACCCACAGAGGGGTCCGGTTTGTGGGAAAAGTTTCTGGACCAAAGCATACCTGAGGAGACATGAAAAAAAAATCCATGTGAGATGAAAGGATCTTTCTGTGTGTATGTGTATATATATATGTATATATATATATATCTACCCTCCACAAAAAACTGAAAGGGATGACACAAGGAGGCAAATGTCAAAAGGACAATCAGGTTGCAAACTGCACACTATTCCAATGTGCATTGTGACTTTGTATGCCTTACAACAGTGTTTTTTTAATCTTGACTGCTTTAAGAGAGGGATCTTGAAGTCCTAGTGGACAACCATTTAAATATGAACCAGCAGTGTGCAGCAGCTGCCCAAAAAGGAAACACAGTTCTAGGCTGCATAAACAGAGGGACAGAATCAAGATCATGTGAAGTGTTAATGCCACTTTATAATGCCTTGGAATGCTGCATTCAGTTCTGGTCGCCACGATGTAGAAAAGATGCGGAGACTCTAGATAGAAAGAGTGCAGTGAAGAGCAACAAAGATGATTAGGGGACTGGAGGCTAAAACATATGAAGAACGGTTGCAGGAACTGGGTATGTCTAGTTTAATGAAAAGAAGGACTAGGGGAGACATGATAACAGTCTTCCAATATCTCAGGGGCTGCCACAAAGAAGAGGGAGTCCAGCTATTCTCCAGGGCACCTGAGGGTAGAACAAGAAGCAATGGGTGGAAACTAATCAAGGAGAGAAGCAACTTAGAACTAAGGAGAAATTTTCCGATAGTTAGAACAGTTAATCAGTGGAACAGAAGTTGCCTCCAGAAATTGTGGGTGCTCGAAGACTTTTAAGAAGAGACTGGACGGCCAATTGTCTGAA